TCGCTCCCCTCTGTGACATCCCAAGATGTCTCTAGGTATCTCCAGTAAATTTCTACCAGAAAGAGAGATTCATTTTCATTGACTTAACTTTTTAAGTGTATATTTTGGAAGGGTGAAGAAGTAGTCATGAATGAAAACACACAGTTTGGGATTGCAAAAGGACCTAATGCGGAGTCTCCAGTTACTAGACTATGAGGAGCTTAGCCACTGGGGAAAGGTGTGATACTGACAGGGCTGCTTGAAATTTGGTGTGTGGGCGGTGGCGGTGGGGTGACTACCTGGTTACTCTCTTTCCATCAAGAAATGAACTCCTCTTGCACACAGCTCAGTTTCTGCTCTGAGGACCAAGCTGTGGTTTGGTTTACTTCAGTGATGCTGTCGTTGCTGTAACTATGACGCCACATGGTTGGGCCATTCACTTGCTACTGGCTCCTGTCCTTCAGGGAAACAACATTTTTCATCAGAGCCCAGAAGATGGTTTGAGACTCGGGATTCAGATCAGAGATTCGGCTGTGGCTAGGACAGGAGCGTTGTGTAGAAATTTCCCAGGAGGCCTGGGCACAGAGGGACCTCCAGGCCTGCGTTGAGCAGCCTCTCCCACCGACCTCTTTCTTGTTTGTGGATGGAGCCTCACGTGTTACCCTCGTTCATCACTTGGACACATCAGCTCTGCATTGTCTGCTCACTTGACCCTCCCAGTCTTATAGCACAAGGTACCCAGCTTCCCCCTCCCCCAGTCTGAGGACTGGGTCCAAGTGTGGTCAGAGGAGGAGCTCCGGCCTGCATTTTTGTGTATGTGTGTGAGTGTTTCTGTATGTGTGTTTACCTCCACACACACAGGGGACACTTTACACTCGGTGTAAGATGTGCTGGGAACAAGGCCACTGGGGTGGCTGGATCTCAGTCTCTCTGTATCTCTCTTTCTCTTCTTTTCCTTTTGTTGTATCCAACACTTGGTTGACAAAGACCTTGACTAGGACCAAATTTCCATGTCTGTTGCTATGGTCATTATTTAGGACAGCAGTTAACCATGCAGTGGCCCGTTCTTTTCACCTTATACAGATGATGATGTGGGACATATGTAACATACATATATATATAAAACATTACCCTCTGTCTTCTTGGCTTAGGATGAGATCTCTCCTTCTAGCTGAAATGCACCTGCAGTGCAGTGCTGCCAGCAGCCTGCAGGCCCCAGCCCTGTTCAAATTAACACAGTCGATAATAAAGGAATGAGTATCATTACAAAAAAAAAAAAAAATCCCTCAACTTCAAATAGTCAATATGCCAAAGTCCCACATTTCAGGTAGCCTTCCTGAACTCCATCACACTATTTTTAATCTTATTGTAAAACTAATATTATTATAAGGCTATTCTTTTATTGTTTTATTTTTTCTAGGAATTATTTTTTTTCCAGTAATTGAAAATTTTTCCAGTATCTCATTTTAAAGGTTCATAGTATTCTAATATTTTTAATCTCTGTTCTATCTTCCATTATTACAACTATTTCTTTGCCTCTAATTCCTTTGTATTTTTCTTAAATAATTCACCATTGTTTTGTGTATTTCATACATAATTTCTTAAAACTTTCTTTTCTTTTATGCATCTTTGGTCTTCCTTTTGGAATAATTTCCTTTTATGCTGAAGGATATAATTTGGAAATTAGTTTACTGAAATTCTGCTGATAGTGAAAACTTTCAGTTTTTATTTATGGAAATATGTCTTATTTTGCCCTTTTACTGAGAATTTGGCTGGTTGCACAACTGGGAATTTTATCATTTCACTGTGACCTGGCTTCTGTCATTGCTGTTGGGACATTTACTGTTTCTTCAATTTTTTTTGTTGTTGTTTTGGAGGAGATTTATTTGCTCAAGTTGCTGCTTTTATGAGTTTCTGTTCATCTCTGAAGTTCTAAAATTTTAGTGGAAGGTGCATAATTATAGATTCTTTTTTTTTTTAATCTATCCCATTTGGTATACATTGTGCTTCCTTTGTAAATTCTTGTCTTTCATCATTTCTGGAAAATTCTTTATCATGACCTTTTCAAAAGTTGACTCTGCTCCATAATCTCTATTCTCGTCTCACTCTGATAAGACAAGGTTTAATTCTCTTAGTCTATCTTTCCTATCTCCGAACACTATTTAGTAATTTTCATTTTCTTTTGTCTTTGTGCTGCATTTTTAATTACTTTTTTTATAATGAAACCTTCCTAATGACTTTTCATCTGTGATAACTCTAATCATCTCATAAAATTTTAATTTAAAGGTTATATTTTCATCCTTAACAGTTGTATTTTGCTAAAAAGCCACCTGCTTGCTCAAGAAACATATTATCTTGCATTCTTAAAAGGTAATTATTTCTTTATTTGGTTGTGCTGCCTCTTCGTTGCTGCTCGGGTTTTCCTCTAGTTTCGGTGAGCAGGGGCTATGCTCTAGTTGCGATATGTGGGTTCTCCTTGTGGTGGCTTCGCCTTTAGTGGAGCACAGGTGCTGGAGAATTTGCGCTTCACTAGTTGTGGCATGTGGGTTAAGCAGTTTAGGCTCTTGGGCTCTCGAGCACATCTAGTAGTTGTGACCCACCGGCTTAGTTACCTGGAGGCATGTGGGATCTTCCTGGATCAGGGACTGAACCCGTGTCTCCTGCACTGGCAGGCAGATTCTTTACCACTGAGCCACTAGGAAAGTTCTACTCTTCATTTTTAAAGTATTGTATACCTGTCTTAGATCTAATGATGCCCATACCTGCAGTTTGTGAGATCTGTAGCTATTATTTGTTGATGCTGTTGACTCTTAACAGACAGTGGTTCACTTTTGCTGTGATCTTTGATCAGAGATAATATTTCACTGACAAAAATAAGTAAAAATCCTGAGGACCTGAATTTCACCTGGAATTGGTTAATCCAACAGTGAGGTCTTGTTTTTACTCTATGGATTGAATAGAAATTGCAAGTGATAATATCCATTGTCAACATAGATTTTTCTAAAAAGAAAACTTGACTTGTTATTGCCTGTCAGAGTTGAATAGGTTAAATCACAAGGTTTGTTATAAACAAGGTTATATAGCAATAGAAAGCTTAACAAATGTTCTCACTATGTTTTTAATGCTACCAAGTAAGTTTAAATCACAGCCAAACCAGTAACAGAATAAATCAGTGATATCTCAGAATAAGTTAATTATTATAAGACAAGTGGATGACTGCAATCTCATTTAAGAAACATAATTAAAAACAACTGAATATAGTGTTTTATAAGAAACAGCACATTAACAAATGTACTTTTTATTTTAAAAAACCATACATTTGGAATTATAAGTGAAAAGTTCTTAGAATCTTTTAGTAATACAGAGAAATCTTTTGTTTTTCTTTTAAAATAAATTTATACAAAAACTTAGTTTTCATGATGACAAGATATACGCTAAATGTAGATTTATATTACAGTTTATGTTTTTTTTTTTAGAATGCAAATTTTTATTTAAAAAAATATTTGCAGTCCTCTTTTATTGATAACATAACTGAGATACTTATTTTATACATTTAAATTATCTTGAGATTTGATAGCAGTATTTAGCTACAGTGTAGCCCACAAATGAAAATATACAAAATAGTTTTAGGAACACATGTACACCTGTGGGTATACTTATATATCATACAAAGATAAACATTTATTGTAAAATAAAGACTTTGAAAATGAAACCAGTTCATATAATTTCACCAAGATATGACAAGAAATCTTTATGCAAAAAAATAAAAATTGAAACAGAAATAACACTTTCAACTTAGTTTTCTAATGCCTTAAAAATCATGTTAATTCTACAAATTGCTATTTTGAAGGACAGAACTATAACTGTTCCCCTCTCATTTTTTGTCATGCTTACAATAAAACATAAAAAAGTACTCTGAACATAATAAATGGAGTTCTTACATTTTAAACCATTTTACTATAAAGGATAGCAATTCAGATCATGTTTTACATTTCTACTTAAGTTTATATTGCACTAAAATTATTTTATGTGGAAGAACTAGTTGATGTGTCATAACATAATACCTTGGAAACATTCTTCAACATTCACATCTATATTAATGGATATTTCACAGTCCACTTAAATAAATTTTCTAACATACACCAAATCATCTAACAAAAACAAATCTATAATGCTAATTTGTTTTGAGAGCAAAGATATTCAATATTTATTATTACTGCTCTTGGGAAATACAATGAAATTTTAAAACATACTTAAATCACTCAGAAACTGGTAATAACATTTGAGCAAGACCTGAAAATTTGTGACTTACTGATGAATGCCTACATGGCTACTTTTTTAATACAGTATTTATCAAAAATGAAAAGAAAAAGTGTTTGTCCTTTTATCCAGTGGAGCAGAATGATGAGAAGAGACATATTATAAATAATACTTCAATGCTGGCTTCTAACCTATGTTTCATATAACTTAAAATTTCAGTTCTCATCACTCTGCTGTAATATAACCAAGCATACTTATTATAATAACAAAAACCAATGTTACAGCCTTTGAAAATATGATTAAAATTAAAATCTTGGAATAGCATAATAAAACTAATGGCAACCTCTTAAATTCATTTCAAGTCAGTTCTACTTTCAAATAACACTTTAAAATGGTTTCCAGTAACCTTACTGATTAACCAGCATCAGCTTAGGAATTTTTTTTTTTGCAATGTTCTAAAATATAACTACTGGCATCAAAAAGTATAGTAAGCACTTTTGATTTGTGATGAATAGAAAAATCAAGTACTAAAATACCAGTGGTTCCTGTGACAGGGTAAATATCCCCCTTCAAGTAATGTTCTCCCCCAAATTAAATTAACATTTTATTTTTCCCTCTGAGAGGTTATTAAGGAAAAGATAGCATGATTTTCTTTAACTGAGGTGAAAAAACTGCTTCATAAGTTCATATGTTGTAAAAGCCACTGCCTGAGAAGGAACGCAGCGAATGTAATTAAGAGATAAACCACGATATAATCCTTTTCAAATTTCATGGTGTCCATAGACATACTTCATAGTCTCCCGCATGGTAAGGCACTTTTCAAATTCTGGAAGAACAGTTCCTAACTGCATTCGCCGATGTGTTACATCAAATGGGTAGGATATTGTCTGTGCTATTGCTCCAGCAACACCACCACAAAGTAAGTTTATGTGAGTTTTCAAAACTAAGACATTAGGATTGTCTGATGAAGGTCTGCCAAGAAGGGTGGGAGCATAGGAAAGCCCAACACTCTTTAAGGTACCAAAAGTAAAAAATGAAACACCTGCATATGGAGCCATTCCTAATATAGTACGCATCAAGCCTCTGTAAAATCCAAGGAAACCACCTTCCTTTGCATAAATCGTTTTGAATGCATGAATAATTCCTGTATAAGTGTGTTCCCCTTTCACCTGGAATGCTAGGCGTACTCGAACCATGTCAAGAGGGTAAGTACAGATAACTGCTGTCATACCTGCCATGGATCCAGCCATTAATCTGTGCACATGACCAGAAACTCCCAGTTTTGTAGTAATTAGCGTTTTATATTGCTCAAATGCCATAAACTGGATTGTACCGTAGGGAAAAATTCGAATCATCATTGCACCATTCCCTTTATACAATCCAAGGTATCCCTCCTTTTTGGGAACAGCACGCAATGTAGAAAATACTCCCAAATGTCTATAATGGTGGTTGTGAGCTTGTAACAAAACCTTTACTCGATCCAAGGGAGCAACTGTTGTTTTGGCACAGCATCCAGCAATACCTCCAGCCAGGAAGGAGCGCAGCCAGTAGAAGTCTCTGCGGGCGGTGGGCCCTCCGGTTCCTGCCGCCTGCAGCATCGCGGGAGGTGGCTCGGCGGCTGCCAGGGCCGCCGCCGCCGCCGCCGCCGCCATCAGGATCAGGGCCGCGTCGGGAGCTTTGGTGGTCAGTTGACAACACAAGACCCCTAGCCATGGACGGAGCAGGCAGTGACAGGGCACCGACCGCCGCGCAGTTTATGAAAACTAGCATGTAAATATTTCCTAGCTTTTTCTTACCCTTCTGATTAAATATAATGTCTATATGAGAGCTCTGTCCTTTCAAAGCAGCTGTATCAGTTGTCTAACCATTATGTTTTAAGGTTTCTTATTGAACTTTGCTTATATCCCTCCAAATTTACATGTTGAAATCTAATCCCCAATGTGATGGTATTTAAAAGTAAGGACTTTGGGACGTGCTTAGGTCATGAGGGTGGAATGCTCATGAATGGGATTAGTGCCCTTATAATACAGACTAGTAGGAGAGTTCCCTCGTCTTTCCTGTCCTATGGGGGCATAGCGAAAAGACGGCTATGAACCAGGAAGTGTCTATGAACCAGGAAGTGGGTTCTCACTAGACACTGAATCTGTCAGTGCCTTGATCTTGGACACCCCAGCCTCCACAACTGTGAGGAATAAATTATCCAGCCTCCAGAACTGTAAGAACTAGATTTCCATCACTTATAAGCCACCCAGTCTATTTTTGTATAGCAGCCCATTTTATTAGGAATAAGAAGTTCTAATTAAATTCTATGGTCTCTGCATTAAGTTGCTGTTCTAGGAAAGATTAAATTTAAGAATATGAAGCTTATCATTTATTTTTTCCACATTAAGGAGTAAGTTATTCTTGGACACACCTGTTTGAAATGTTAATTTTAACTGCCCTTTGGTAGAGAAAATCTGCAAAATATATTAAAATTAAATCTATCCATTTATACCTAATCACTCTACCTGGGAAATTATCCAAAAGGAATAAATAAGCAATGCATAAGGGTTATTACAGCAGCTGGTACTGGTTTTTAATAAAAGTATTGCCACCAATGGAGGAATAGAGAGGGGGTAATTGAATACATCTAAGTACATTCAAGCCATTGAATGTGTTGGGAAAGAATTCTAATAAGTCTTTCACAGTTTGGCATATCTTGGGAGCAGAGGAACTGACAGTTTTTCCTTCTGAACTGTTTTTAAGGATGTTTTGCATAGTGAAAAACCTTGATAGAGATAGGATCTTCCCCAGGGACAAAGAGCTGGCATGCTTACTGTCTGCTACAATAAAGATATTATCTCTCTTGATCAAAAGGTAGACATGCTTATTACTCATTGTAAGATATTGACCTTCTGTATGCTAATAGTTCCTCTCTTGAAATGCCAACCACTGCATGTGTAGACTATATCTAGGTGTCTTTCTCTGTAAGATTTTGGAGCAGAAGGATCTCTCAAAAGTAAGCTGATGTTCATGCTGTTTACCATGCTCTGTAATAAATTCTTTTGTCTCTGACTTAGGAGTCCTGTGTCATTTTTTAGCATCCATAAGACTGTGGCTGATTAACTAGTTAGCTTGCAAGTAGGATGACATATCGGGCTTCTCCGATGGCTCACTAGGTAAAGAATCCACCTGCAATGTAGGAGACACAGGAAATGAGGGTTTGATCCCTGGGTCAGGAAGATTCCCTGGACAAAGAAATGGCAACCCACTCCAGTATTCGCGCTTGAAAAATCTGATGGACAGAAGAGCCTGGCAGGCTACAGTCCAAAGGGACACAAAGAGTCGGACACAACTAATCGACTAAGTACACACACAAGACAGATCAGACCCATCACAATTCTCAGCAGCTTTGGTGACAAGGATGGGATGCTGATTGAAATGTGCCTTTCTGAAGGAAAATGAACAAGGGTCCTGCAGGCCAGGTCTGGGAATATGACAAGACTCTGAGATCTGACAATCTTAGGCAAGGGGGCTGGGTATTACATAATGATTCTCTGCAGTCCCACCTATTAATAAATGTTTGGAGCAATGAGAGCTAGGATCGAACCAAACTGCTCAAATGGTGCCCTGGTTATTGCTCACTCTCCTCCGGGAGAGTGGATGAGCAAATGTTACCATGACAACAGGGCACTGAGCTCTACAGCTTTAGCCAAAAAATAATGAGCTGTCAACAATGAGGATCTTGCTATTCAACACAGAACTTTGGGCAGACCAAAATAGTTAGAAGTTCTTTTTGTGAGTCGTGAGCTAGACCCTATTCAAAACCTGCTCAAACTGAATACAGTATCTTGTTTATTGTCAAGAAGCTTCTCTCTCCACTAATGCCCTCTACTTATTCTCTTCCACTCTACCCTGATCTCAGCTGCTTTTCAGAGATCTCTCTGTCCCCAAAAGAGACCAAAGATCATTCCCACCAGTGTTATTATCCTGGAGAACTCTATTGGATACAACTGCCCAAGGTGTCATCTTACCTACTCCTGTCTGGGGACTAGGCATCCAGATTCGGTGACTGGATTTGGGGCAAGGCTTACAGTAGGAAAAGGAAGCTAGTGTGACCTTGGAGGCTGAGGGATTTGGGCCAATTTAATATACTATTGTTATTTCTACATTTGCATGTACTTCTTCATCCCAGGAGTGCCAAGGATACTCTCCCAGTTCTAGAAGAGCTGTAGGTAGAGAAGTGCTAATAGAACTCACAACACTAATGACGCCTTTGAGCTCAAGTGTCGCTAACAACTTTCAGTCAGTTGGGGTCCTTGGCAGAGGGAGGCAGCCTCATTGCCTCTCTGGTATTGCTACCGGGCTAGGCTTTTTACAAAAAATTATTGGGGAGCAGTTGATTTATAATGCTGTGCTGGTTTCGGGTGTACAGCAAAGTTAATCTATTAAAGTCAGCTGTGAAAAAGGACAATGTAATCCCATTTGCAGCAACATAGGTAGAGATGGAGATTGTCATACTGAGTGAAGTAAATCAGACAGAGTAGGACGAATATCACATGATATTGCTTATATGCAGAAATTTTTTTAAAAGGCTACAAATGAGCTTATCTACAAGACAGAAACAGAATTACAGATGTAGAAAATAAACTTACGGTTGCATGGCGGGGGGAGGGGGAGGGATAAATTGGGAAATTGGGATTGACATATATACACTCTACTATATATAAAATGGGGCTTCCCTGGTGGCTCAGATGGTAAAGAATCTGACTGCAATGCGGGAGACGTAGGTTCGATTCCTGGGTTGGGAAGATCCCCCTGGAGGAGGGCACGGCAATCCACTCCAGTATTCTTGCTGGAGAATCCCCATGGACAGAGGAGCCTGGCGGGCCACAGCCCATGGGGTTGAAAAGAGTCAGACATGACTGTGAGTAACACACACACACATAAAGTAGATAACTCACAGGGACCTGCTATGTAGCACAGAGTTCTACCCAGTGCTCTGTAACGGCCTATATTGGTAAGGTTTTCTGAAACCAGTTAATAGCTTACTAGTAGGCTCTTGGCTTTTGGGGCTCCCCTGGTGGCCCAGACAGTGAAGAATCCGCCTGCAATGTGGGAGACCTGGATTCCATCCCTGGGTTGGGAAGATCCCCTGGAGAAAGGAATGGCTACCCATTCCAGTATTCTGGCCTGGAGAATTCCGTGAACAGAGGAGCCTGGCAGGCTATACGGTCCATGGGGTCACAAAGACTTGGACACGAATGAGCAACTTTCACTTTTACCTTTCAGGCTCTTGGCAGGGGTGGTGCTAGTGGTAAAGAACCTACTTGTCAATGCAGGAGATGGGAGAGATGCAGGTTTGATCCCCGAGTCGGAAGATCTCCTGGAGGAGGGCACAGCAACCCTCTCCAGTATTCTTGCCTGAAGAATTCCATGGACAGAGAAGCCTGGCCGGCTACAGTCCATATATATGGTCGCACAGAGTCAGACACGACTGAAGCGACTTAGCATAGCATAGCCCAGGCTCTGGGCAAAGCTAAACACCTGATCCATAGAAACCTTGTGACTCTATGACCTGATATTCCCATTTGTCAAGGCGGGTCTCCAGGGACTCAATGACCTACATGGTAGGGAAGGTCTAAGGAACCTGACTTGTCAGGTGGAAAATGATATATTTAAGAGCACAGTCAGCCTGTTCCCAGAAACACCTCGGCTTGACATGAAAATTGGAAGTTGCCCATCTGGGGCTCTCAGTGTGGTTCCTGAAGTGCTATTGGTCCTTAATTTATAGAGGTGCTTTTAAATACCTGGTCTGGTTCACTGTGGTTAAAGTCTCTGTATATTATGCTTTGATCTAAGTCATTCATATTCTAGCAATTTAGAGTATGAGCAGATTAATACATGGGTCTACAATCCTGTTTGCAAGGATATTTATTGCAACACCGTTTTTGCTAGCAAATTACACAGAACTACAAAAATCTCTCATTTAGGGACTAGATGTTAGAGAGATGAGTTGTTCCAGACAAACCATATCAAAGTAACACAAAACATGACAAATAAAAATAATGCTAACTTTTTTTGTTGTTTTTATCGACAGTATTTTCTCAGTGTTATGTAAAGCAAAATTAAAAGCATGTTTCATTACCCTTTTAATTTATTGACCAGGTCCATACAACTTAAAAAATAGAGCAAAGGGCTTGCTTAGCAAAGCCAACTTTAAAATCATGTTCTTAGTTTTCTCCTTCAAACCCCCAACCTTCTGGTCCCACAAGAATATCACCCTTGTGTTCTCACATACAAATTCTGGTTTCAAGATTTACTATTATGTGGAAAAGCTATATGTGGAAAGCTAGGAGATAAAAACTTTAAAATGTATCATTTTCATGTAAAAGTCTCCTATATAAATAAATCTGCATGGACTACCCCTGAATGGAAATAAAAGACATTGGTAATAGAATTGCCTTTGAGAAAGAGACAGAGAGCTCTGCAAGTACTTGGTGAAAATAAGATTTACTTTCATTGCCATAAGCAAAGAATCCCACTTAGGTTAAGAGGTATTATCTCTGGGTAGTAAAGAAATCCAAATGGCTATTTATTTACTTACAGCCCATTACTCATCTTTTATTATTTCTACCATGAACTTGAATTTATTCCAAAGACAAAATTTGTGAAATATTTTCAAAGTATTTTCTAGCAAGAGTACAAAGAAAAGCAAGGATATATCCATATTTTGGTAACTGAGAGAGAAATAAAAATATGGGTACATCCTTGCTTTTCTTTGTATTCTTGCTAGAAAATGCCTTCAAAATAATTACATCAGAATTATAGTACAATCCTGACTATAAATCTGGATGCTGACAATGGAACAGGGAAGAGGTAAAAATGACACATAACTAGAAAGGCAAATAAATGACTGGCAGAGAAAATAAATCTAGTTACAAATTTACCTATAAGAAAATTTCTCAGAATATATACTCAAATGGAAATTCAAAGACAATACAACAATATCTTGCTTTTATTGTTTATTTTTATGTCCTCTTAGATACAAGGATATGACCAAGCAAATAAACAAATAGTATTGTAACAAGAAATTCTCAGTTCCATTCATTAGATTTCAATGGCTGGTTTCTCCCAGAAACCTCTCTGGACTAGCCTCAGTCATTACCATACTATACAGACAGACAGATCTCTCTGGGCCTTTTGGCAGGAATTCTTTTCTTCCCCCCAGCACTTTGAAGGGTTTGGGATGGAGAACACTGTACCATTCCCTTTGCACATTTTCCAGACAGTGGAAAATGTGTTTGGGAGCAGCAGATTGAAGTTCATCTTCTGGGGGCCTGTGAAAATATCGTTTCTTTGTAGATTGGTGAACTAATACAAAAAAGTCCTTCAGTTATTGGATTGGTATTATATACCACCAGTCTTCTTCTCATGTTAACAATAACCTGCATAGACCAGTTTATAAAACTCCAAGAATGTGAGGTAGATCCTTCATCTTTGAGGAAAATAGTACCTCTAAAACAACGAATTTGTTTCATCCTTCGGTTGTTGCTAGTGGCAACAGAAAGAATGCACTGGAGTGTCATAATAATCCTCCATTAAATCCCTAGTGTTTAAATTTTAACGCTATAATTCAAGAGCTGACAAAGGCCCATTGAGTGCATGTATGGGGAGGAAAACAGACAGGCCCATTTTCTCAGGGGTGATACTATAGCAACATGAAATGAATTTGGGGTCAGGGAACAAGCAGTCTCCAGTCTTTGTTTGCATTTCCTGGCTAAAAGTAGAATCTAACATTATAAATTTTACCCAACTAAGTAGTTATTTTGAGGAGCAGGAAGATCGCTCCCTTTGTACACTGTTTATAATGAAAACAGAGAGAAGGTAACAAAACCAGAATTGGAAGAAAGATTTGCCGACAAATATATTATGAAGTGACTCTCAAACTGATCACTTTAGAAACCCCTAGATCCCTCTTATGCTTGACACCCAAACCCTCTCCCCTGGACAAATGATACTTTAGAGCATGGAGAAGTATTACAATTCCCAAAATGCCCTTAAAAAGAAAGAAACACAGTCCCTGAAAGTGACCCTGTTACAGGCATAGAAAATATGGCATGGTCCGGTGTTGTTGATTACATCTAGCTCTTTATAATGGTCCTTTGTTTTAGGGGGAGGGTTTTTTCCTCCCAGAATAAGCAAATGCACCCGAATCACAATTGCCTATTGTGCACAAAAGGCAAAAACAAACAAACAAAATCCCCCAAAATACCCTACTTAATTCTCAGAAGTTTGTGTTACCAGCCTTCTTCTCCTAGATATCTGTTTTCAGTTTCAGGTTTTGTGTTAAATATTAGTACACTGAGTCAGTGTCCTGACTCAGTAACATAAAATACTAACATAAACTCAGTAACATAAAATATGAGGTGGATATCCAATAAGGTGTATCTAGTTACAGAGTCTATTTATATGACTTGCAATATACAAAAGTGAAGAATGTTAGGTTTTTAAAGGTCTAGTCATAGATGGATATGCAGACAGCTGAATAAAACTCAAAGCTGTTCCTTCTTTTCCATCCCTTCTTCTCGATATCTCACCGCAACAACAAAAAATCTTTGCCCCAGAAATTCCCTGGCAGTCCAGTGGTTAGGACTTCAAGCTCTCACTGCTGAGGACCTGAGTTTCATCCTTGGTCTGGGAACTAAGATCCCACAAGCAGTGCAGTACATGACCAAAAATAAATAAAAAAATAAAAATAAAAATCCTTGCCCCTCCCAACCTTCCCAGATCTCCAGAATGCAAATCTATATCTGCAGTTCATCCTAAATATAGTGGCAATATTTTTAGTCACTTTCCTAAACTAAAGACAAAGTTTCTTCCCTGTTAAAAAGTCTTCAATGCCTATGAATGAATCAAATTTATACTCCTAAAATTTAATTGCTATTATAAGTAAGCCATGTTGTATAGCTTGCTTTTCCTTATTGTATCTTTATACTTTCCTCATAGTATAGTTACAGGAAGTATACTCCTCCTAGAAAATTATTTATTTACTTTCTTTTTTTCTTAAGCTCATGGGACATATCTATAATTGTCTTTAGGAATTTAATTAATTTCTTCAAACAAATTTTGTATTATTGCCAAGTACAGGGACTATATACCCAATTATTTTCTTCCACCCACTTCACACTTGGAAAGAAATGTTTTTTAAAGAAAATATTCTCTAAGCTACATTGCTTACCTGGCTCTTCCTATTATGTATACCAAACATATGATAATACCAACAAAAAGAAGCTATGGAATAAAAGATATTAATAAGTAATATATCATGATCAATTGTAAGTGTCTTCTGCTTATCATCATCATTGAGGGATCCAGGTGGATGGGTGCTTCTTCTCTACACATGTTTACATGATTGCTGAGTCAGGAAAAGAGAGCAAGGTGAACTATATCATGCCAACTTCGAAAACTTCTGTCCAAAAGTGACACATCTCTTCCGCTCATACTGCATAAAGGCAAAGAAAGTCACAATGCCAACCTGACTTCCAGAGGACAAAAAAATATAATCCTACTTGTGTTACAGAGATGGAGGCATTCTGAAATGGTTGGAAATGGCACTGTAACTACTGCCCCATATTTTCCCAAGAGTTAGAAGAAGACAAAAGCAGTAAATTTCAAATTTTACTTAAAAATGGCAAAATAACTAGTTAGAAAATTTCCTCAGGTTGATTGATGATACTGCTCAAAAACCTTAGCAAACACCTTCCTCATAATGAAATTTTAAATATTTTAGCATTAAGATTAAAGATCAGTTCAGTTCAGTTGCTCATTCGTGTCCGACTCTTTGTGACCTCATGGATTGCAGTATGCCAGGCTTCCCTGTCCATCACCAACTCCCAGAGCTTGCTCAAACCCATGCCCATTGAGTTGGTGATACTATCCAACCATCCCATCCTCTCGTCCCCTTCTCCTCCTGCCCTCAATCTTTCCCAGCATCAGGGTCTTTTCCAATGAGTCAGTTCTTTGCATGAGGTAGCCAAAGTATTGGAGTTTCAGCTTCAGCATCAGTTCTTCCAATGAATATTCAGGACTGATTTCCTTTAGGATGGACTGGTTGGATCTCCTTGCAGTCCAAGGGACTCTCAAGAGTCTTCTCCAACACCACAGTTCAAAAGCATCAGTTCTTCGGTGCTCAGTTTTCTTTATAGTCCAACTCTCACCTCCATACATGACTATTGGAAAAACCATAGCTTTGACTAGACAGACCTTTGTTGGCAAAGTAATGTCTCTGCTTTTTAATATGCTGTCTAGGTTGGTCATAGCTTTTCTTCCAAGGAGCCAGTGTCTTTTAATTTCATGGCTGCAGTTACCATCTGCAGTGATTTTGGAGCCCAGAAAAATAAAGTCTGACACTGTTTCCACTGTTTCCCCATCTGTTTGCCATGAAGTGATGGAACCAGATGCCATGATCTTAGTTTTTTGCATATTGAGTTTTAAGCCAACTTTTAAGCCAAGATTAAAGATAAGAATGGGTTCTCTGTCTAGCTGTGACCAGCTGAGGAGGCATGGTGGCATAGGGACGGTACCCTTGCCGGATTGGTGTGTCCCTTGAATACAAGAGAATGGAAACTGAACAGCCAGAGGAAAACTTTCCCAACACTGAAACCAATGGCGAGTTTGGTAAACACCCTGCTGAAGATACGGAAGAGGAACAAGCTTTTAAAAGATCTAGAAACACTGCTGAGATGGTTGAATTACGCATTCTGCTTCAGAGCAAGAATGCTGGGGCAGTGATTGGAAAAGGAGGCAAGAATATTAAGGCTCTCCGTACAGACTACGATGCCAGTGTTTCAGTCCCAGACAGCAGTGGCCCCGAGCACATATTGAGTATCAGTGCTGATATTGAAACGATTGGAGAAATTCTGAAGAAAATCATCCCTACCTTGGAAGAGGGCCTGCAGTTGCCATATCCCACTGCAACCAGCCAGCTCCCTCTCGAATCTGATGCTGTGGAATGATTACATTACCAACACTATAAAGGAAGTGACTTTGACTGTGAGTTGAGACTGTTGCTTCATCAGAGTCTGGCAAGAGGAATTATTGGAGTCAAAGGTGCTAAAATCAAAGAACTTCGAGAGAACACTCAAGACAACAATCAAGCTTTTCCAGGAATCTTGTCCTCAATCTACTGACAGAGTCATTCTTATAGGAGGAAAACCTGATAGGGTTGCAGAGTCCATAAAGATCATCCTTGATCTTATATCAGAGTCTCCCATCAAAGGACGCGCTCAGCCTTACAATCCCAGTTCTCATGATGAGACCTATGATTATGGTGGTTTTACAATGATGTTTGATGACCGCTGTGGACGTCCCGTGGGGTTTCCCATGCGGGGAAGAGGTGGTTTTGACAGAATGCCACCTGGTCGGGGTGGGTGTCCCATGCCTCCCTCCAGAAGAGATTATGATGATATGAGCCCTCGTCGAGGACCTCCTCCACCCCCTCCTGGACGACGTGGCCGGGGCGGTAGTAGAGCTCGGAATCTTCCTCTTCCAGCACCCCCACCGCCTAGAGGAGGAGATCTAATGGCCTACGACAGAAGAGGAAGACCTGGAGACCGTTATGACGGCATGGTTGGTTTCAGTGCTGATGAAACCTGGGACCCTTCAATAGATACATGGAGCCCATCAGAGTGGCAGATGGCTTACGAACCACAGGGTGGCTCTGGGTATGATTATTCCTATGTAGGGGGTCGTGGCTCATATGGTGATCTTAGTGGACTTATTACTACTACACAAGTAACTATTCTCAAAGATTGGGCTGGATCGATTATTGGCAAAGTGGTCAGCGGATTAAACAAATCCGTCATGAGTCAGGAGCTCCGATCACAATTGATGAGCCTTTAGAAGGATCCGAAGATCCGATTATTACCATTACAGGAACACAGGACCAGATACAGAATGTACAGTATTTGCTGCAGAACAGTGTGAAGCAGTATGCAGGTGTTGAAGGATTCTATGCAAGATAGTTTTTCTTTTTTATAGTGTGAAGCAGTATTCTGGACAGTTTTTCTAGGACTAGTGAAGAACTGAAGGAGTCCTGCATCTTTTTTTTTTTTTTAATCTGCTTCTGTTTAAAACGCCAACATTCCTCTCCTTCATAGGTGTTCTGTATTTGAGGTGTAGTGAAATCTTTGCTGTTCACCAGATGTAATGTTTTAGTTCCTTACAAACAGGGTGGGGGGTGGGGGGTGGGGGAGGGTGTGCAAAAACTAACATTGAAATTTTGAAACAGCAGCAGAGTGAGTGAATTTTAATTTTTGTTCATTGTATGTGGTTTAAAGAAGTCCCCCCCCCCCATGTAATTATTGTGAACACTTTGCTTTGTGGTCACTGTGACATTTGGGGTGGTAGGACAGTGAGGAAAAGTAACAGTAGTCCATATGTCCCTGGCATCTATTCAGAGCAGTGTGCAGAATGTAATGCTCTTTTGTAAGAAATGTTTTATGATTTTTAAAATAAATTTAGTGAACCTATTTTCGGTGGTCATTTTTCTTAAGATGGTCATTTTTCAAATGGCTGAATTCCCTCCAACCTACCCCCAAACGGAACACTAAGTTTAATTTTCAGTCCTCTGTTGGATATAAATAAATGGCATCTCTTCTTGGACTTAGGCAAAGTATCTTGACAATATTCAGTTCTGGTGATTCTAATGATTTGAAGTTCATTGCTTGGGAGGAAATTCCACCACACATTCATGCTTATAATAAGCTGGGGATTTTTGTTTGTTTTTGCAAATGCTTGCCCCTACTTTGCAATGATTTTCTGTTCGTTGATTCTGAAGAACCAAGGTGGGGAGCAACACAACAGGTGGAATAGTGGTATAAGTTTATACCAGAAGCTAATGACAAGTTTTATTAATCAGAATAATACTTGGTTATGGAAGTGACTGATGCTAAATAAATTCTGATTATTTTTTATTAGATAATTTCTCACGTATAGACTTAAACTGTCAGCTTGGTAGTGTCTATTAGTTAAACTTTGTAAAATATATATATATTTTTCTTGTTTTTCCATTGTATGCAAATTGAAAGAAAAAGATGTACCATTTCTCTGTTGTATGTTGGATTATGTAGGAAATGTTTGTGAACAATTCAAAGAAAAAAAGATGAAAAAAAATCCTGTGGATGTTTTGTGTAGTATTTCTTGGCATTTGTATTAATAGCTAAAAGTTCACTTCCAAATAAAACTCCCATAATGCTAGAAAAAAAAGTAAAGATAAGAATGTTTACTATCATTGCTATGATTAATACAAACTGCATGTCCTGGCCAAGATAGTAACACAAAAAAGAAAATGAGATATAAGTTTTAAAAGAGAAAAATAATTGCTATTTCTAAAGGTATGATATGAATTGTTGATACTGCTTATCTTTTTTGAATTATCTATCAGAATTATTAATAATTATGAGCAAATTAGCCATAAAAATTACTTTAAAAATCAAAAGTAGAATATCAGTGACCCGTGGAATAATAGCAAATGAACTAACACTTGTATAACTGAAGTCTAAGAGAGAAGAAAAAGTATGGGGCAAAAAAATTATTTAAGAAAATGTTTAAAATTTTTTAACTTTATTTTAAAAATATACCTATAATTACAAAAATTTAGGCAAACACCAAGCAGAAAGGAAAACAAGACTTAGGCCTATTATATTAAACTGCTGAAAGCCAGAGTTAAACAGAACATAAAAAGAGCAAGAGGAAAAATACACATGAAATACAGGGAATAAAATAAGAAGGCTGTTTTCTTACCAGAAACAGTGAAAATCAGAAGGCAATGGAAAAATATCTTTTAAATTTATTAAGAATATATAAAATCTATCAATCTAGAAAAGGCACTGATCAGCAGATGTGTGCAAGACATATTTGAGGAAGTTCTTTTGGCTAAGAGTAAGTGATACCAGATGAAAATTTGATAATGAAGAGTGAAACATTAAATATTGTGATACAGTTTATGAAAATAAACAAATTAGATGAAAAAGATACACTTTTTTTGAGAAAAACAACAAACCAAAGTGACAAAATTGAAAAAATAATTGTATAGTCCTATTAAGTAAATAAAATTCATAATTAAAAAGATAGTCAAAGGTACAAACTTCTAGTTATAAAATAAATAAGTTTTGGGGATGTAAAGTACTGCATGGTTACAGTTAATAATCATGTATTGTATTTAAAGTTGCTGAAAGTAGAACAGTTTTTGTCACAGGGAAAAAATTATAACTGTGTCTGGTGATTGATGTTAACTAGACTTATTGTGGTCATCATTTCATATATATACATATACTAAATCATTATATTGTACACTTGAAATTATTCAATAAAATAATGTTATACATTGATAATATCTAAATAAAAATAAAATCCTTCCTTCATAGAAAATGCTGGGCTCAGATGGCTTCATTGGTGAATTTTATCAAGCATTTAAACAAGAAATTATACCAATAATTGTCTTCTGATCTGTTTTTCCAGGGAAATTGGCATTTAAGGGAACAATCTGAGTTTACTTGCTGAATAGATATATTTAGATTTGGGTCTGGCCAATAAAGAATTTCAGTATAATTTCAGCTGGGCTATAATACTGTTGAAGTTATCCATTTATCATTCAGTGAGCATTTGATATTGGTGCTTAGCTTCAGCTGGCTTTTCCCTTGTTATAGGCTGATGTACAAGAAAAGACATGAAAAACGTAGGAACAGGGCACTGCTGTTAGACTAAAACTCCAAGTTATAATCTCCTGAAGATGACTAATGTCAACATTGATATAAACAAAGTCAGGGTGTTGGAAAGAAAGAAAAGGAACTCTGGTAAATCTGAGCCTAGATCAAGGTAAGTTTTGCATTTCATAAACACATGCTTTAGGCCAAACATTTAATGGACTAAAACTAATCACAGGGTTCTTGTTGCAGGTAAAAGAGAAGTAAGAAAAGATAGTCTTTTACAAACATTTCTTTCTAGTTTTAAAAATTCCTATTCTAGCAGAAAATTTCCCAAAATGAAGGAGAATAGACACAACTGAGGAAGAGGAAGAAAAATGTGCATCTGTCAATAGCCATCTGAAAGACAAGCTTCCAAGGAAGAAGGAAGGTCTGGCAAGCTAAAGCAGCAGCCTTTCGCTGAATCTTCACGTGCATGGGCTGCAGTGTATGTAAATATAAATGGTGTGGGTCAGATTCCCCACAAATTGACTCTGAGGGGATCTAGTCTACAGAAAGGTCTTGAGGTGTTGCTGTCAGGATCAATGTTTGTGTGAGATGGGAGGGAAGCAGAGTCAGGCCAAGGGAGAAGTTTGGCTGCTATGTAGTAGCAACAAAAACCAAAGCAAGCCCAAGGGGAGCCATGAGTCTGGAATGGCTCTCTAGGTATATTCTGATTTGGGGAAGGGAGACCAGCTCTTCATATTGCATATCAACAAGTCTTGGGATGCATCTTGTCCCCCGCAGGAGGAAGGATGATGGGCAATATGGCTGTTTTCACTGGACGGCAAATCCCAGGGAGAACTGATGGGTGATGGCTAACAGCCAGCAGCACATTCAGTTGAGGGAATTAGCACTTTCCTTCCTGGAAAGGGAACCTGGGCAATGTTTACTGCAGTCCACTTTTGCACAGCTTGGATCCCCTTGCTTCATCTAAACCCTGAAGATCTTCCTGCAGGAGGGGTGGGTCTCTTTCCTAGGGTAAACTTATTAGAGGAACGTCAGTGAAGAAAGCTATAGCCTTCCTGGATGCAGGTAAGCTTGAGGCTACAACTGTGATATGCCTTTTCCTTCCTCCATGATTTATCCTAGATTTTCTTCCTCCACTGCTCATACCTATGCTGCCTTTGGTGGCTGAGCTGGTAGGGTGATCTAAAGTTGTATCTCTGATTATCTAAATCCCTGATCGAGTCCTTCTCAGACCTTGGCCACTGTATTTGTCTATTTACCATCACAGTTGAGCAAAGAAGTGTTGAGATAACCAAGTGCCAAACACATTCCTCCCTGGCCTCAATGTTCCATAACAGCCTTCCTCCTGATGATCACATCAATTGCTTCTTTCAAGATTGTATTCCTCTCCTTGCCCCCTTGCCCCTTGTCATGAGAAGTGTGAAGTATATAGGCATAAATCATAGCTTACATTTCCAAGGTGGAAGTTCCCCACATATAGGAACTAAGACCAGTAAACACAGAGAGGCCAGAATCCAGAAAAGGAAGAAGAAACTCCCTATGGATCATTCCTACTTTCATCCCTTGGTCCCTGGCACTGTGTATTCTAGTTAACTAATGGGGCACAGCGCTATGTATTGGTTGTTAATCTGAGTATATATCACATCCTGGAAGATGACTACCTATCCTTGCATGGTATCATTTTTTAACTTGTGCCTTTTCTATGCCATCTGTAAGCTATTCTATTGTTCTTCAATGCCAGCTGGTTTGGATGCTGTGGTACATGACAAGACCAGCTGATCTCATGACTGTGGGCCCAGGGTTGCACCTCCTTTGCCATAAAGTGAGTGTCTTAATCAATGGTTTCTGAACAGTGACGTCTTCACACTTTGCCTGAGACAACTCTTTGTTACAGGCAATTGTCCTGTACGTTGATGTTTAGTAGCAACCCTGACCGCTGGCCACTAGATGTCAGTAGCCTCCTCCTAGTTGCGAGAACCAACTATGTCGGCAACACTGTCAAATATCCCCTTGGGTGGGGGGAAATATTGCCCCTGGTTAAGAACCATTGCCTCAGCCTGAAGCAATGTCATATGGGATTCCACGTGGGTGGATTCAACTCTCTGTAATCACAGGGAAAATGGTGCTGCCTGAGATTCGCCAGACAGGAAAGGCAAATCCAAACCTAGAATACATAGAGATGCAAAAAGTGTTCAAAATAAATTGCAGTTTTTTTCCAGCTTGGAAACAGTTCAATGCAGTTAACTTGCCACCAGGTGGCTGGTTAGCCTCCGGAAGGGATGGTGCTGTACGTGGGAGTCACTTGCCAGCCTCAGCAAATGGGAGCTCATGTAACCAGACCCACGCATAGCCTCCATTCTCTGGACACTATGACTCTGTTCATTGTGCCTCGTGTTCAAACACTGTGAGCTCTGATGACACAGAGGCGGTTGACGTGGACCTGCTGACACTTCGTGTACTGTGATTACTTGGTTGTTTAACTCCTGTCCAGAGTAGACGCCCTCTACACGCAATGCCAAGATCCTCACACTGTATGCCCTCTCCCATTGCTCCATCCATGTACCATGACTGATCTCTCCATCTTTCTCCTCTCAAGCTGCTTGCCACCCATGAATCTGCATAGATTTTAATCTTGGGCCATTCTTTTTTCACCAAAAGGTGATCAGTTGTACCACCTGGAGCTCTGGCTATCAGAAAGATTCACCCCACCACTGTCTTTAAAGGCCACCATGTAGTGAAGTTCTGATCCATGTTTAGCTTACATGCAAGAACTGGGATGACAGTTCATAAACCAGCTTTGCTCTTTGCCTCCTTTGTCAGCTGTCCTAAGGCATCCCCTACACAATATAAATAAATGTTGGTTAAGAAACTGGTGTATGAAATGGGAGTCGGGACCAGATTGTGCTGCTTACTTGAGTCTTCTGGTGTTGCTGTTGTTCAGTTGCTAAGTTATGTCCGACCCTTTGTGACCCTGTGGACTGTAGCACACCAGGCTTCCTTGTCCCTCACTATCTCCTGGACTTTACTCAAACTCATGTCCATTGTGTCAATGATGTCATCCAACCATCTCATCATCTGTTGCCTGCTTCTCCTCTTGCCCTTAATCTTTCCCAGCATCAGGGTCTTTTCCAATGAGTCAGCTCTTTGCATCAGGTGGCCAAAATATTGGAGCTTCAGCTTCAGCATCAGTACTTCCAATGAATATTCAGGGTTGATTTCCTTTAGGATTGACTGGTTTGATCTCCTTGCAGTCCAAGGGACTCTCAAGAGTCTTCTCCAGCACCACAACTCGAGAGCTTCAATTCTTCGGTGCTAAGCCTTGTTCCCTGGTGGCTCAGTGGCAAAGAATCTGCCTACAATGCAGGAGCCGCAGGAGATGTGGATTCGATCCCGAGGTAGGGAAGATCCCCTGGAGGAGGGCATGACAACCCACTCCAGTATCTTTGCCTGGAGAATCCCATAGACAGAGGAACCTGGCAGCCTACAGTCCCTAGGATCACAAAGAGTCGGACATGACTGAAGTGACTTAGCACACACAAGCCTTCTCAATGGTCCTACTCTCACATCTGTATATGACTACCAGAAAAAGTAGAGCTTTGACTATATGGATCTTTGTTGGCAAAGTGATGTCTTTGATTTTTTAATACGCTGTCTAGGTTTCTCATAGCTTTTCTTCCAAGGAGCAAGCGTCTTAATTTCATGGCTGCAGTCATTGTCCGCAGTGATTTTGGAGCCCAAGAAAATAAAACCTGTCACTGTTTTCACGTTTTCCCCATTTTCCATAAAGCAATGTGCTTGTGCCTAATCCTTGTACCATTTTCATCATAAGAGTGAGTGGGTCTTGTAAAGTACATAATTTTGAACTATTTGACTGCTTTCTTTAGTTCTAAAATGAAAGGTTGAATTAAATAAACTATAACATCTCTTCCAATTCTAGAATTTTATGAGAAGAAGCATAATTTTGTGTTTAGAATGATGGTTGATGTTGGCAGCTTTGCTTTATGACCATAAGTTCATTGCGTGGCCTCATCTATGAACTCCTCTATGCGCCTATTTATCATCATCCCAGGTGGTACTAGTGGTAAAAATCTGCCTGCCAATGCAAGAGACAAAAGAGATGCGGGTTCTAACCCTGGGTTGGGTTAGATCCTCTGGAGGAGGAAATGGTATCCCATTCCAGTATTTGTGCCTGGAAAATTCCATGGGCAGAAGAGCTCGTGGGTAGCATGGGCTACCGTTCACGGGGCTGCAAAGAGCCAGACACAACTGAGTGACTGAGCAGACACAACCAATTAAATCATAACAGTGAGGAAACAAACATTCTCAAAGCCAATAAAAATTGCCTGTGTTCACAACAACATTGTTTCAAGTATTCACCAATCAGTTTCTTGTACCAAGTTGCCCAATCACCTACACACACAGTTTATAGTAAATGTTATTTTTAAGATTATAGAATAAAGCATTTCCTTTGGAGAAAACTTAAAAATGAGAGCTGATGGAGTCAGAGATAGATTGAGATGGAGGCTTCGAGGCATGAGGATTGCTGCTTATTTATTTGCAATGAACAAACTATTTTAAAGTTGACTAACAGAAGAATTGATTCTTTTGAACTGTGGTGTTGGAGAAGACTCTTGAGAGTCCCTTGGACTGCAAGAAGATCCAACCAGTCCATTCTAAAGGAGATCAGTCCTGGGTGTTCATTGGAAGTCCTGATGCTGAAGCTGAAACTCCAATATTTTGGCCACTTCATGCGAAGAGTTGATTCATTGGAAAAGACCCTGATGCTGGCAAGGATTGGGGGCAAGAGGAGAAGGGGACAACAGAGGATGAGATGGCTGGATGGCATCACCGACTCGATGGACATGGGTTTGGGTGGACTCTGGGAGTTGATGATGGACAGGGAGGCCTGGCGTGTGTGGCTCCTGGGTTTGCAAAGAGTCGGGCACAACTGAGCGACTGAACTGAACTGAATTTAACAGCACTATGAGAAAAGTAATATTGTAGTTAAACATACTGTATTAGCAAGGGTTCTCCAGAGAAACAGAACCAATAGGGTATATGTATGTAAATATAAGCATATTGAGTTGCTTCAGTCATGTCTGACTCTTTGCTGCTTTTCTATCCATGGGATTCTCCAGGCAAGAATACCAAAGTGGGTTGCCATACCCTCCTCTGGGGGATCTTCCAGACCCAGGGATTGAACCTGCATTTCTTACATCTCCTGCATTGGCAAGTGGGCTCTTTACCACTAGCACCACCTGGGAAGCCCATGTGTGTGTGTGTGCAGGGTGTGTGTGTGGTGTGTGTGTGTGTGTATGTTTGTGGGATGTGTGTGAGGGGTGGTGTGTGTGTGTGTATTGATAATTGCAAGGTGTTTGCTAAGGCTTATATGAATTGCCCAATGAAATGAATGCCTTGATCATTGCAGATTGTGGAAAATATACCCCAAGTGGGAAACACATTTTCTAACAGTTTCTTTCTGACTGTGAGGGCATCAGCCTTCTGGCAATAGAAGGCTTCAACCTATCTGGAAAATATTTACAATAACAAGAAGATGCTGACAACCCTCACTAAGTGGTGGGTGGATGAAGCCCAACTGCAGCTGTTGAAAGGGTCCAGAAAGAGGGGATCTGAGGCTCTTGCCCAGTTAGATGTTTCTGGCAGACTAGTTTTGAAATTTTATAGACTTCTCCCCACCAGTGTCTTCAGATGTCATGTGATTGTTTACTATATTAACTTTATTATGGTAGTCTAAAATTGAATCCTCAGTATCTCTGAGGAATACCTGTGTTTATCTGTTACCACACTCTCTTGATTACTGTAGCTTATGGTAAATCTTGAAGTTGTGTAGTATCAGTCCTCTGATTAATTATTCTCCTTCAGTACTGTGTTGGCTCTTTCACGTCTTTTACCTCTCTTTAGAATCACAAAATAATTTGCTGAAATTCGGATTGGGGTGGCAATGAATGTACAGATCAGTTTGGGAGGAACCGGCATCTGGGCAATATTGTCTTCTATCCGTGCACATGGACTATCTCTCCATGTATTTAGTTCTTTAAAAAAAAATTTCATTTATCAGAATTTTGCAGTTTCCCCCATACAGATATTAAACATATTTTGTTAGGCTTATACCTGAGTGTTTCACCTTTTTTGGGTGTTATGTTATGTATGGTTCTTATTTCCTTTCTTGCTGTTTTGCATTGAGTGGAACTTCCAGCACTGTTTGAATAAAAGCAGTCAGAGCAGACATCCTGGCTTGTTCCTGATCTCAGGTGGAAAGTATTTAGTCTTCTTATCACTAAGGGTATCTTTGTGCAGGGTTTTTTGCTTTTGTAGATGCTCTTTATAAAGTTGAGGAAACTCCCGTTTGTTTCTTATTTTCTGACACTTTTTATCATGAATGAATATAGAACTTTCATCAAATGCATGTTCTGCCTCAACTGATATTATCCTGTGACTTTTTCTGTCACTCAGCCTATTAACATGTGGATTACATTATTTTCAAGTAGTGAACTAGCCTTGTAGCCCTGAAATAAACCATGTTTTGTCATGATCTATAATTCTTTTTTATATATGGCTGCATTCTATTTGCTAATATTTTGTTAAGAATTTTTGCATCTATATTCATAAAGGTTATTAGTCTTCACTTTTTAAATTATCTTAGTATTGCCTTGGTATCAGGATAATATTAGCTTATAAAACTAAATGGAAAATGTTTTCTGCTATTCAATTTTCAGAAAGATATTGGGTATAATGAATTGTTCTTTCAATATCTGTATAATTAGTTTTAAAATTATGAACTCAATTTCCTTACTAGATTTTGGACTATTCTAATTCTATATTTAATATTGAGTGAATTGTGGTAGCTTGTGCTTTTTGAGAATCTGGTCCATCTAGTGTAAGTTATTCAATTTACATATGTAGATTATTGATTTGAGATATTTGCTTCTTTCTAATATAAACATTTAGTGTTAATAAAATTTCCCCTCAGATGTCCCACAGATTTTACGTTGTGTTTTAATTTTCATTCAGTTCAATGTATTTTTTATTTTCCTTGAGACTTCCTCTTTGACTCATGTTTTCAAATGTGTTGTTTAGTTTCCAAGTGGTTGGAGGTTTTCCTGTTATCTTTTTGTTATTTGTATATAGTTTGACTCCAATGTGGCGAGAGATCACAGTTTGTGTATTATTTTCATTATTTCAAATTTGCTGTAGTTTGTTTTATTGCCCACGTCTGGTCTATCCAGTATATGTCCTATGGTTCCTTGAGAAAACTGCATATTCTGCTGCTGGTGGTTGAGTATTCTATAAACATCAATTTGAGCTTGTGGGTTAATGATGTTTTTAAGTTCTTTTATATCCTTGCTGATTTCCTATCTAGTTGTTTTATCAATTGCTGAGAGAAGGATATTGAAATCTTCAACTATAATGGTGGGCTTGTTTAGTTCTCTTTATATTAATAGTTCTACCAGCTTTTGTTTCACATATTTTATTGTGCTGTTCTTTGGTACCCGTGCATTTAGAATTGCTATACCTTCTTGAAAAACTGATCTTT